TCAACCCTATAATTAGCTGCCCATTAATTCAACCCTATAATTAGCTGCCCATTAATTCAACCCTATAATTAGCTGCCCATTAATTCAACCCTATAATTAGCTGCCCATTAATTCAACCTATTTAAATTTGCTGTCCATTAATTCAACCCTATAATTAGCTGCCCATTAATTCAACCCTATAATTGCTGCCCATTAATTCAACCCTTTTAAATTTGCTGCCATTAATTCAACCCTATAATTAGCTGCCCATTAATTCAACCCTATAATTAGCTGCCCATTAATTCAACCCTATAATTAGCTGCCCATTAATTCAACCCTATAATTAGCTGCCCATTAATTCAACCCTATAATTAGCTGCCCATTAATTCTGTTCAGTATAATTTCTTCAATAATTTAAAATCGTTTCACTGTGTTTAGTATAAATTTCAAAATTTCTGTGAATGTATTATCCGTCTATATGCAAATTATGTATCTATCTATCTATCTGTCTATCTATCTATCTATATATCTATCTATCTATCTATCTATCTATCTATCTATCTATCTATATTTTATATATATATATTATATATATATATATATATATATATTATATATATATATATATATATATATATATATTAGAGAGAGAGAGAGAGAGAGAGAAATATATATATACATATATATATATATATATATATATATTATATATATATATATATATATATATATTATATTATATATATATTATATATATATATATATATATATATATACTATATATATATCCTAGTTAGTAGGTTGGTAAAGGGCAGCAACCACCCAGGGAGGTACTACCGTCCTGTGGTAGTTGGTTTGGTAGACAACAACCACCCAGGGAGGTACTACCGTCCTGTGGTAGTAGGTTGGTAGACAACAAACCACCCAGGGAGGTACTTACGTCCTGTTGGTAGTAGGCTGGTAACAACAACCACCCAGGGAGGTACTACCGTCCTGTGGTAGTAGGTTGGTAGACAGCAACCATCCAGGGAGGTACTACCGTCCTGTGGTAGTAGGTTGGTTTGACAACAACCACCCAGGGAGGTACTACCGTTTCCTGTGGTTAGTAGGTTGGTAGACAACAAACACCCAGGGAGGTACTACCGTCCTGTGGTAGTAGGTTGGTAGACAACAACCACCCAGGGAGGTACTACCGTCCTGTGGTAGTAGGTTGGTAGACAAAAAACCCCCCAGGGAGGTACTACCGTCCTGTGGTAGTAGGTTGGTAGACAACAAACCACCCAGGGAGGTACTACCGTCCTGTGGTAGTAGGTTGGTAGACAGCAAAACCCCCCAGGGAGGTACTACCCTCTGTGGTAGTAGGTTGGTAGAAAAACAACCACCCAGGGAGGTATACCGTCCTGTGGTAGTAGGTTGGTAGACAACAAACCCCCAGGGAGGTACTACCGTCCTGTGGTAGTAGGTTGGTAGACAACCACCCAGGGAGGTACTTACCGGGCCTGTGGTAGTAGGTTGGAAGACAACAAACCACCCAGGGAGGTACTACAGTCCTGTGGTAGTAGGTTGGTAGGGCAGCAACCACCCCGGGAGGTACTACCGTCCTGTGGTAGTAGGTTGGTAGACAACAACCACCCAGGGAGGTACTACCGTCCTGTGGTAGTAGGTTGGTAGACAGCAACCACCCAGGGAGGTACTACCGTCCTGTGGTAGTAGGTTGGTAGACAACAACCACCCAGGGAGGTACTACCGTCCTGTGGTAGTAGGTTGGTAGACAACAACCACCCAGGGAGGTACTACCCTCCTGTGGTAGTAGGTTGGTAGACAACAAACCACCGGGGAGGTACTACCCTCCCGTGGTAGTAGGTTGGTAGACAGCAACCACCCAGGGAGGTACTACCGTCCTGTGGTAGTAGGTTGGTAGACAACAACCACCCAGGGAGGTACTACCGTCCCGTGGTAGTAGGCTGGTAGACAACAACACCCAGGGAGGTACTTCCGTCCTGTGGTAGTAGGTTGGTAGACAGCAACCACCCAGGGAGGTTTCTACCGTCCCGTGGTAGTAGGTTGGTAGACAGCAACCACCCAGGGAGGTACTACCGTCCTGTGGTAGTAGGTTGGTAGACAACAACCACCCAGGGAGGTACTACCCTCCTGTGGTAGTAGGTTGGTAGACAGGGAACCCACCCAGGGAGGTTTCTGCCGTCCTGTGGTTGTAGGTTGGTAGACAGAACCACCCAGGGAGGTACTACCGTCCTGTGGTAGTAGGTTGGTAGACAAACAACCACCCAGGGAGGTACTACCGTCCTGTGGTGTAGGTTGGTAGACAACAACCACCCAGGGAGGTACTACCGTCCTGTGGTAGTAGGTTTGGGAGACAGCAACCACCCAGGGAGGTACTACGTCCTGTGGTAGTAGGTTGGTAGACCCAACAACCACCCAGGGGAGGTTTCTACCGTCTCTGTGGTAGTAGGTTGGTAGACAACAACCCCCCAGGGAGGTACTACCGTCCTGTGGTAGTAGG